GGCTGTGATTAGTGCCTCTCTTATATCTTGTACTGTCATCTCATTAGCACCTTCTAGGATGGCAGTGAGGGGAGCCAGAGCATCCAGGATGAAAGTCTGGAGTCTGGCTAGTTCTTTATCTGCACTCTGTGCAGACTGAGGAGCAACAGTTTTCATTACTGAGTCCAATCTCGGGGATCTGGCTGCATCCACTTCAGGAAGCTTGAAATGCCTTCTGGTACGCTTCCTAGTCTCGCTTGACATGCCCCGCGTGCAAGAGTCAGTGAAAAGATGATAAGTCTCCTCTGAGACTTCCATAAGTTGCTCGAAATCTTCCTCGTCCTCCGACGAGTATGATTTAGTTCTGTTGGCACGGGAGCGTCGCTCCCCAGAATTTTGTCCTGCTTGCTCCTTAGAACTGGAGTGGGGACTTCTAGAACGGCTACGGCGATTTTCAACCTTCTTCAACTCACATTGAGCTTGGTCCTTCTTTTTTAAGTATTCAACATCTGTTGTTAAGTCAGAAAGTCTGCTGTCTAAACCTTTAACTTTGTCCAAGATGTCTTTTAGAGACATATTTGCACGTGCTTCTGTAAGAGAGCTAAGAAAAAGGCCAAGGAAGATGGCTGAAGCAGGGGCTTATATAGTGGGGCAAGTGGGCGGATGGGCGGACCAAAAGTTATTAAAATTAATTATTTAACTACAAATTAGCTGTAAGTTAAGAAAACTGGCCATATGTGAGACTGAGCCTTCTGAAATATAATACTTTGTCCAGTCTTTGCAATTGTGCACCGTCCTACCATTTACTAGGGTGTTTGAAGCATGATAATGTGTTAATGTGCCATTCTTTTTAATGGTTAATATTGTTATCATAAACAAAAAGTGAATTACATACAGCAGGAAACATGTTGCTAGCAACATTTGTTGTTACATATCTTTTGAGCAACTTGTAGCAAAAACAGGACTAATATCTATTCTTAGCAACATACTGATTACAAAATCTAAGCAACCACAAATGTTGCTAGCAACATGTTGCCTGTTGTATGGAGGGCTTAAGGCATTTTTTTGCAAGAAAATCAAGATATCAGCATTTTTTGTATTTAAATAGCATCTGTGATGCAGTTTAAATGTGATAGTGAGTCCAAAACCTTCTTAGCTGGAACTGAGGTAGGAGGTACACGTAATAAGTGCTTTGCTATGGAAACCAATGGAGGATAGCATTTTGAGTTGTTCTTCCACCATTCTGATATATTGACATTAGATGTTAAGCTCAGTGCTTTGTTGACAGGTATATGTACCTCTGTACTTCTTCACCTGTACGGTTCTCATTATTCTCTTCATTGTCCCCCAGTAGAAATGAAAGTGCTGTCACTTTCTTCTTCTTTAATGATAATTATGCAATATTCAATTGTGAGCTGATACTTTATTTGGATTTTTAACCAACTTTTAAAGGTGCTCCAAAAATGGACAAAAGTCCTTACAGGGACTTATTAAATTTCACCAAAATTGAAAAGGAGTGAATTCTCTATTGTTATAATTTTCTTATATGCATGTACTTATTTTGCGTAAAAGTGTGAGCTAATTTTAATGAAGTTTGGATTTTTTTACAAATTTGTATAGCATGTAGCTCAAATACACATTTTTGAATGATTTTTTACATGTACAATGTAGTAATGCAATCATGCCACTAATATCTTATTACAAACCATAGTAACATTGTGTAGCTTTAAATGCATCTGAACAGCAATGATATATTTGTGTTTTAACTTTTTAATTCTGTAATTAGGAGTTTCTTGTCTGGTTTTCGATTACCTGGTGAAGCACAAAAAATTGATCGAATGATGGAGTTGTTTGCACAGAGATATTGTTATTGTAATCCTGATGTTTTTAAGAACCCTGGTAAGTAAACTTTTAGTAAATTTTTTTCTGTGCTTTCTGAATATAGTCCGTACCTTTTTGCAATTACATGTAGGTGTGCCACCACTAACAATTAGTATTGTTTGAGCTACAGTTTTATACATTTTAGTTTGAAATAGTTACATGGTTATGGAATTTTAGATTTAGTTTTACTTAGTTTTAGTAAGCAAAAGTAGTGTCAGCTAGTTATAGTTAGTACTGTGGGGCTCCTTTTATTTGAGGGCTATAAATTTTGTTGTGGATTTTTATTTCGTGGATTTAATTTTTGTGAATTTATGCCGTCTGCCATCTTGTAGTCTTGTACTGTATTAATTTGATTTTCCTGGAAGTAATTTGTGCAAATTTTTAAAAATTGTGAAATCTGCGAACTTTATAGCCCTTGAAAAAGAAGGCACCCTATGGTACTTAAATTTCAAAAATACAATATGTACTTTTAGTTATAGTTAAAGTAATTTGTAATTTCTGCAATACTTTTAGCTATAAACATTAATAGTTATTTTTTGTATTTAAAAATAACACTTGTACAGTACAGTGCGAAAAAAAGCTAAGTAGCTACTCTACTTTTGCCTAGGTACAGTAGTTCGCTGCTCCTTTGTTGCACATGCCCAAACTTACCAGTAGTAGTAGTGCATGTGGTCAGTAGAAGAACAGTGGCTTGATGGTGACTCTAGCAAAGAGCCTCTTAAATGGCCTTCTAAAGGTAGAGGGCAGTAGTAGAGACGAACTTGACAGCCAAGAGAATCATCCTCAAGTCCTTGAGAGCCTCTAGAGTGTGTGAGCGCTTGCTACAACAGAACATGTGACTGGACCATACTGCAGTTATTTCCTAGGGATAGCGCAGTGAAGAGTAATGAAGAGTAGTGAAGTAAAATAACTATCTACGCACTACCTGCATACTACTTATGCTACTTAGCTTTTTTTCGCCTTGTACTATAGTTAAAACTTATTGTACGTATTTTTAAAATTTGTTTTGTTAAGATTTTCAGGCACTCTTTTAGTAATTAAATACATGTAGGTCTCATCATGCTTGGTTGTAGTATACATGTAGATTGTGCTGCCACGTTTGATCTATAGCAAAATTAAACACCAGTTGTGGCATGATAGACTTGATCAGATGTATAAAGTAAAATATTAAGGGGTGAGCCCATCTAGGCAAAATCATTTTGTTAGGTATGTCTACGATCAGATATAGTTTTATGATTGTGCGAAGCAAGCCATGGAAGAGTAGCTCAGAACTTGCAAAAACTTAGTGCTCTTTGTTTTTACTTAAAAATCTCTCCAGTATTTACATGTGTGTAAGGGTACCTTGTGTTATAATCCGAAGACATTCACAAGCTCTCGGCAAAAAATTGGAAAATATTCCTGCGCTGTCGGAAAAAATCAGAAAATTAACAAACATCACTGCTGGAAGGATTAAAACAGTCACTACAGAAATTATGTTACTATAGTGCAACTCCTCACTAAATTTAATGCATCAATCAATGAAGAAGACTGTGTAGTTGCTTTTTCAAGCTTTTTGTTAGTAGAAAAGCTATTGGACAACAGTTTAGTCTTTTTTATTGTGTTGACTGGTTGTTGCAAAAGAGCTCAGCCTGCCCAAGGTTTTGTCAACAAACAACATCTGGTACACTTTGGGGAAAGTCCAAAATTATGATCCAAAAATACAAAATAATTTTGAAATCCAGTACCAAAAGTCCAGAATATCTGCCAAACAAAACCAGCATATTGAGTGATTTGAGTCTGACTTTGCCCTGAGAACCTACAATTATGTAAAACTGATTATGTTAAGTTTACAAACACAATGGTAAATAATTTTGGGTAGATACTTGCACACGTACTTTCAATACTATTACCATTTGATGTAGTTAAGACCAATAATGGTAGTTTTTGCTAATAATGTAGGTTTGTCATGTTGTTCATCAACTAGATCAACTAAAAGTATGTTTTTGTGATGTTTGTGCTCCTGTTTCAATGCTACTAAAGCCCAACATATACTGAGCAGCTTTGTTGCTGGCAACTTGTGGTCAGACCTTTGATGTGGTTGAGCAACACTGGGCAACATGTTGCAGAAAGTAGAAAGACTCTCAACTTCTGACAACAAGTTGCCTCACCACATCAAAGGTACTGGCAACAAAGTTGCTCAGTGTATGTTGGGCTTAAAGGAACTTTGATTGCTTCAATCTTCATATAGGCCTCACGATGTGTATGGCTTTCTCATGATTACGAAACCTTGATTTGCCAGTTTCCAGTTACAGAAACCTTTCACTGTAAAAGTTTTGTCAGCATGAGCTGTTTGACCTTAAACTTGGTTGCATTAATATTTCTTTGATGAAAGTTGAATTTCGTCATGATCTCTTGGTAAATGATAATGTGAATCACTCAGTGCTTCATCAGATATCGGTGATATACCGTAGATCAGGAAATTAGTGTGGTAGGAAATTTTTGCGGTTTAAAATTGTGCTGTGACTTAATTTTTACTAAATAAGACTGTGTCATGTAATTATATGGGTAATCTAATTTTTGCGAAATTCTAATCCAGTAAAATTTAAATCACAGTAAAAATTTCCAGATAGACGGTATCTTTGAATTTGAATGGAAATTTGATCTCAATAACCCCCTTACCACAGTAATTAGAATTTATTGGACAGTAGTAAGCTGATTCATTATGACATGACATCAGAACTCATAAATATTCATGATCGTATTTTGTATATGTTTGTTTGACCAAGCCTCAGGGCCACAGGCTGGAGGGCGAGGTCATTTAAATGCGTATTAAAGGCGTGTGCCAATGTTCATGCTCAGACTATGCACCTCGTGATAGGAACAGAAAGGTCAGATGTAAAGAAGCTCAAGAAAATGGGAGCAGAGGAGAATTCTGAGGAGATAGACCAGTTCCAACTGATTCCAAAGCGGTGTTATTGTCACTACCAAAGGATCAGTTTCACTTTGCTATTGAGAATAGTGACTTAAAAAAGGTATGAAAGCCTATTTTATATATCACATAGCAAGCTGTGATGTAACTGCAACAGATAGTTTCATTCTCATTGTTTTATATTGCATTACCTCAGAGTGCATAGAAGAGTGATGAAAACAGGTTTTATATGGCCACTAATAAAAAATTGGTTTTGGCTTATTATTTGAGCAGAGAAAGGAGACTCTTTTTGCTTATGAATGTAAGCAGCCACTAGAAGTGCTGTTAAGCAATGACCCGGAAGAGATAGGCCATATTTGGAGCTTATAACCAGAAGACTTTGTACCTATACTGTCGTCTGGGTTACAGCGACAATGTGTCTTCAGAAGAGGCATGCATCGGCCATCAACATCTTCAACGATCCTCGTTTAGATGCTATCCATAATGTGTGTGACCATGAATTTCCGCCTTCAACAGAAGGGTTATCAAAAGATGACTGGGATACTAAGATACTGGACATAACTACCCCAGGTGGATTGTTAAATTGTGTCTTTTTCTGCAACGGCAAGAACCTCTGTTTAAGGTGAGGAATGAACATTGCCAATTGAAATTTTCACAACTGCGTCCTGATCTATTGTTTGTAGATGGAGTTTAAAAGAACTGCTTCATATACACTGATTTAGGTAGCAGAAATAGATCTTGTGGAGTAGGGCAGTTACACATAGAAAACAAAGTCGTTTATCATTTTGAAGTCCCAGAAGTTAGAGGCAAAGATTACATTAAAATCTTAGTTTTGTATATGTCTAAGTTGACATTGGAAGCAATTGCGAGAGATAATTTCTATGTTCATCCGGATTTTGTGTTACAAGAAGGGAAGCCATGGTTTACAACCGTTCCCATAGGAAGGAATAAGCTGGTTACTGTTGTCAAGACAATGTGAAGTAAAGCTGGTGTAGAAGGAAACAAGACTAATCATAGTTTATGGTATTGGAGTCACTTGAATGTTTGAAGAAAGCATACCGGAGAGGTGTATGAAATGGACTAAATGGATTATTTCATGTTGGCAAAGGAAAAACAGATGTACTAAAATCACGTATGATTTAGGTCATTGGACTCGCCACGCTTGCGTAGGCGGGTACTAAGCAGTTGGGTTGTCATTCTGTCATTCTGTCCACACAGTTTAATTGATTTGTAAAAAATTTATCTTTTTGTCTGAGCAGTCTAGAGCTATATATTTCTTCTTTTAGCAACAGATAAAGTTGCTTTCTTTTATCTAGTTATGCTTTTGTAGCATCCCATGGCACCAAAAGCTGTAAACTGCTAAACCAGGGGACCTCTCTCCAAGTGAGATCTCATGTTTCACTCTACATGGCCGAGATTTGCTTCAGAGGTGGAAAATCTCATCTAACAAAAAACAAAAAGAACGATTTTGTCCTAACTTCGTTGATTGTGAGTTACAGTTGCTCAAAGTTTGTGATTTAGCCTCTTTGAAATTTTTTCAGGCGGCACTAGGGAAAGCAGGAGCAACCAAACTCTCTCATTCTCTTTTAAATATCTAGGAAATTTTTGTGCCAACTCTTTCTTTGAATAGAGCTTCAGATGCTAAAATAAATTTCAGCTTTCCTTCTTTCTCCTACCCATGTGCCATGATTTAACTGTTGGCCATACCCATAGCTTATTTTAATTATCGTCATAGCTATGCAGTCAATAATAATAATTTTTTTTCAAATTGCTTAAAATATCACAGCACAAGTAACACATATCACTCAGGTGAATTCCAGCGGGTGAGTCTATTGCACTATAGTGCTTCATTTTTATAGAAATAGTATTGATAATAGTTTGTTTAAAAGATTTCAATAAGAATCTAAATGTATAGTGCCAAAGGCACAGGGATACAAATAAAATCACAGTGTTACAAATGAAACCACAGGGATACAATTGAAACTACAGGGATACAAATGAAACTACAGGGATACATCACAGTTGTAGCTCAGGTGGTGCCTTTTATTCATCCACTGACTATTATACAATGCATGCTGTGTAGTTTTTGTAGTCATTGTTTGGGTGTCAA